GTTGAGGCGAACCGGTAGTTAAATTGCTGCTGGCCCTGCCCCTTCCAGGAGTTCCTACATGCCCCATTTTGACTCCCAGGTAAGTGCAGGGAGGTCTACTAGGCCCAAAACGGTGCGTGGGAATGTGTGGCATGCCCCCCCCCGGTGTCCCATTTTCACTCCCAGGAGGCTTCAGGGAGGCCTACTAGGCCCAAAATGGGGTGGGGGCAGTGTGTCCCCCCCGTGGTGCATTTTCACTCCTAGGAGGCTGTGCCCAAAACAGGGTGCCAAGGACCCTGCAGACCATTTTTGTTCCCAGGGGGTGCAGGAGGCCAAGTGCTGCCTGTCACACCCCATGGCCATGGCCACCATGGCCACGCCTACCCAACTGATCATTAGGGAAGAGAACCAGTTGTTAAATTATTTGAATCCCATCACTGAATGTATTGGACTAAAATAAACAACAACCCACCAAACCTTCCATTAAGAAATGCAAGTTTTATTTATTTATTTATTCATTTATTTAACTTACTTGCCAAGCATATCACCTCAAGGTGATCTAGATAGCTTATAATCAATAGAAACAATATTAAACGTTAAAACAATACACAATAACATTGCTTTGAAATTGAGAAAAATGGAAGGAAGGGAGTCATATGCACAAAGGAAGAAGGTGGGGTCTTAACTTAGTCTATTAATCGTCTCCAGAATGAGATGCCTCTATACAATTTGCAGGTTCTACATTTTCTACAATTCAGACAGATTCAACTGGAATATCCCAATGATTCTTGGAAGTTTCATTTCCATGGAAGAACTAACTGAACAAGAAGTGTCAATTCCAAAAGATATATGCACGCACAAACATATAGATCACATATTTCAGTATAATTAGGAAAATACTAATATTAACCAGAGAAATTATTAAGATCAATACCAAGAAGGAAGGGAGGGAAGGAAGGAGGGAAGTATACAGCTGTAATTTATCTAAGAGAAATATACTGGTATGCACTACAAAATAAAAGGCTTTCCTAGCAATATTTGACAACAATGTGAACTTTAGTATGAAACCTAGGCCAAGAACAACTAGTTTCATTGAAGTTCAATCATAACAGTTACTCATATAGTTTACATTAATAATGGTACCATCATCTACAAAAAGAATTCCAAGCTTTCTGGTATATTTTGACTTAAATACGTTTGGTTTTCCAGATATGGATGATTGCTTCCAATGCCCAGAAGATCAGTATCCAAACAACCACCAGGATTTATGCATGCCAAAGCATGTAACTTATCTATCCTTCAAAGAAATATTGGGGGCCAGTTTAGCTACATCAGCTCTTGTGCTTTCTATTATCACAACACTGGTGCTAGGAATTTTCTTGAAGTATCACAACACTCCCATCGTCAAAGCCAACAACCGCAGCCTCTCCTACACCCTCCTCATTTCCCTCCTCCTCTCCTTCCTTTGTTCTCTGCTTTTCATCGGTCGACCCGTGAAGGTGACCTGTCTCCTTCGACAGACTGCTTTTGGAATCATCTTCTCAGTGGCTGTTTCTTGCATGTTGGTCAAAACCATCATTGTGGTTCTTGCTTTCATGGCCACCAAACCAGGATCAAGGATGAGGACATGGGTTGGGAATAGACTGGCCCTTTTCATTGTTCTTTCCTGTTCTCTTGTTCAAAGTACCTTTTGTACTATATGGCTTGGAACTTCTCCTCCCTTCCCAGATGTTGATATGTGGTCCATAAGTAGTGAAATAATTATAGAATGTAATGAAGGATCTGTTGCAATGTTTTATTCTGTTTTAGGTTTTATGGGTTTTCTGGCTATAGTCAGTTTTATTGCAGCTTTCTTAGCTAGGAAGTTACCAGACACATTCCAGGAAACCAAGTCAATTACTTTCAGCATGCTGGTGTTTTGCAGTGTCTGGTTGTCCTTTGTGCCTGCCTACATTAGCACCAAAGGAAAATACACAACAGCTGTGGAGATCTTTGCCATTTTGGCTTCTAGTGCTGGGCTCCTGGCTTTTATCTTTTTCCCCAAATGTTACATCATTGTAATTAGACCAGATCTTAATAAAAGAGAGCAATTAACAAAAAGAGTGAATTAAACTATGTTGTCAAGAAAAAAAAAATCTCCACTGATGGAAATACAATGACACCCAGCATTTAAATTCTACCTGATATCATAATGCTAGATAAATGGGAGAATGTATGGACTAATTGGTAAAAAAAATAATTTGAATTATAGTTTGAAAGAACATTTTTATAAAATGATGTATCCTTGGTCTTTGACTCAAGATAGATTAGCAAAAATGTATATAGAGGGACTTCTAACTAGTGTTGGAAATGTAAGAGACACTGGACTATATAGTTTTATGATAGACTGGAAGTCATTTATGGACTTCTACAAATTAAATAGGGTTAAATACAAGTTAAATAACAGATGGTTAACAGAAAGATTTGAAGATTAGTGTAGTTTTAGCTAACCTGCTCACCACATATGCATATATATATATATGAGAAAGAGAGGGAAGGAGCGAGGGAGGGAGAGAGTAATGTTGGGTCAATTTGATTATCAGATAGAGATCTCTTCATCTGGAATATTTGTTGATATAATATAGTTTTCTTTTAAAATAAGGAAGAGAATGACTATAACTATTTGTAGACCCATTATGTAAGGGGAGGAGATTTCATAAGGTGCTTTTATTTAATTTCAGCATCCAGCTGGGTTGGATTTTTTATGCTCAATGTTAGACATTTGTGTTATTATTATTTTTTCTTTGTTGTTTTTGTTCTTAGTATTGGTATTGGATATATGCTTTCCTGGGTTGTGTATGATTGGATTTTTTTTCCTTTGTATTTATTCTTATTGATAAAACAGAATAAATATACAGTATAGAAAAACAATAAAGAAAATTTTACTTGACATATCAATCAATTCAATCAAATAGAGCCTTGATAGTACAGTGGTCTAAGCACACTGTTATTAACACAGCTGCCTGCAATTACTGCTGGTTCGAATCTCTCCAAGGCTCATGGTTGACTCAACCTTCCATCCTTTCTAAGGTAGGTGAAATGAGGACCCAGTTTGTGGGGGCAATAAGCTGACTTTGTATAAATATACAAAAGTATGAAGGCTATTGCTTAACACATTGTAAGCCGCCCTGAGTCTCCGGAGAAGGGCAGCATATAAATCAAATTAAAAAAAAAAAATCTCATCAAAGCATGCATTTCTCTACATCATCTTTGTTATTGTGGCAACATGAAGGGAATTGTGTATGTTCTTTTTCTTTTTGTTCTCTCTGAGATGGACTTTGACACCAAAGACACTCACATAGTCTATATTCAGTTTTGTTCTCACGGTATAATAGAAATGATGTTGTCTGTATGTCCTTTACTGGTCAAGGTTCAGTTTTACTAGAAATCATCTCTCGGGAGACACTAGAATTTTCGCTGCAAAAGAAATTAGTTTTGCAAAAAATAAAAAGAACAAAATAGAACTGGCTCTGTAACTCTTGAGTCATTCATTATCTTCTCTATAATTATGAACTTCTTCAGCAAACTGGGGAATTCCCAGGGCCATTATTACTACTGACAGAGACTTTAAGCATTTCCTCTGGCCTTCAGAAATAGACGGAGTATAGAGATAGAATAATATCCTAGGCTTGGCACTGAGGCTTTAATCTGTAGTTACCTGGCTATCAATTCATCAATTTGCTCTGCAGATCAAAGGGGTGCTAACAATAATGTGGGATACGGTGAAGTCTTTTTTTTCACAAATGATATTCTATGTAGCTGTAATTCTTGCTTTCCTCATATTATTCTTCCTCCCGAAGAGTGTTGGCCAAGTCCCAATAGCAAAATGCAGGAGCACTGAGCCTGCATCAATTTCTCATAAATATTATCAAGATGGGGACTTCATTGTTGGTGGCATAATTTCTCAGACCTTAGTTATGTCTGAAAGGATGTCATTCAGGTATCATCCCAGCAAGGATGATTTGTTAGAACACATGTGAGGAACTAGCTATTTTAAAACTTCCTCCTACATCTTCTTATTCTTTCTTTTTATTTTCTATACAAGACATTCTACAGTGTATGATTTTGGTCACATGTGAACAATCAAATATTTTTTAAATTATGTACTATAGCATCTGTTTATTTTTCTTCAAAAAAGTATCCCTTTCTGTTCAGTTTAGACTGATGGTGTTAGTATGTCTTACAGCATAAATCATTTTAATGTTAGTTCTTTATAGAATAGAATAGAATTCTTTATTGGCCAAGTGTGATTGGTCACACAAGGAATGTGTTTTAGGTGTATATGCCCTCAGTGTACATATGGAGAATAAAATACATTCATCAAGAATAAAAAGATACAATACTTAGTGATAGTCAAGATTAGTAATAAGCTATCAAATCGTACTAGGAAACAAATAAAAACAATATAATTGAAAGATACAAGCAACATGGTTATAGTAATAAATGGGAAGAGATAGTTGCTAGTAAGGAAGAGAAGAATAATAGTAATAATACAGTCTTAGTAAATTATTTGACAGTGTTGTGGGAATTAGTTGCTAAGCAGAGTGATGGCATTCGGGAAAAACTGTTTTTGTGTCTAGTTGTTTTGGTGTCCAGTGCTCAATAGCATCGTTTTGAGGGTAGAAGTTGAAACAATTGATATCCAGGATGTGAGGGGTCTGTACCACAGGGCTAGTTGTTAACTTCTCTTCTTCATGCAGATTCATCATTGTCTTGAATGAAACCAATCACAGCTGTATCATCTGCAAATTTCAGAATTTTAAGAGAGGGATCTTTTGAAATGCAGTCATTGGTGGATAGAAAGAAGAGAAGTGGAGAGAGCACACAGCCCTGGGCAGCTCCTTTGCTAATTGTACATCATTCTTCTGCTACTTGAACATAGGAAAGAATAAAACTTTATTTCAGAACTAATTATACAGAGAATACTTAACTATTTTTTAAAATTTCATTGTAGATTATTGTCACAGAGCTACCAACACATCATGGCTGTGGTTTTTGCTGTAAAGGAGATTAATAAAAATCCCCAGATCTTAACCAATATCACACTAGGCTTCAACATTTACAATAACTATTTTCTTCCAAGATATACTTGTATTGCTGCTCTGGAACTCCTCTCTACACCAAACAGATTCATCCCTAATTATAAATGTCACAATCAGAAGAATCTGATTGCTGTCATAGGAGGACCAAGTTCTGTTGAATTTCTTGATATGGCTACCATTATGACAGCTTACAAGTTTGTGCAGGTAAATCCTTTGCTTAATATATATTGGGGATTGGGGTGGGTTAACGATATTTTAGTGTTCTAATATTTCATTCTGGGCCATAAATTTCATTGTGTTTTCTTTTGGAGAAAGTTAAAAAACAAATGTATCTTCAATAATCTCAGCTGAACTTTGGAAAGAGCACCCAAATATAATAAGTATAGCTGTCAAAGAAGTCATGGTATTGTTTGGTTTACCTCTGGACACAGAGGTGACACTGCAGTTCCAGTCTGGAGGTGCAGAGTCTACAGAATGGGGGGCAGCACAGGAAGTCATTGTTGTTATAACTGTGGGTGTTATTCTTTGTCCCATTCATGGTTTTCGATCAGTTTTTAGTGTCCTCTTTTTTCAAAGCCAGTGGAGGCTTTTCAGCACAGGTCTCACCAACAGATTCTGTCAGAAACCACAACATCTACTTTCCATAGCTGGACATCACATTGGTATAGCGTTCTTTTGCGACATCTTTGTAGCACTTATATGGACAATCTTGAAGTATTCCCAAACTTACATATACTTTAGAGCAACTGACAAGGCATATGGTGGACATCCATTCTGATGATGTGTCCCACCCACCTCATTTGGGCTCTGATTGTCAATATCCAGCATCAGTATCCAAATAAAAGCCCAGGATCATTTCATTTCTGAAATGTTTACTGTATATTAAATGCATAGCTTAGTAATGTCATGGTAAAACTAATGCTGAGATCCTTAGGTTCCTGTTCATAGTATTAAATAAAGATTTTCCCAGTCAGACACCCCACCCCCAGACTTCCATGTAGACCAAGTAAACCATTTGTTTTGGGAACCATCTGCCTCAACTGCACACCTGTTAAGATGTCCTTGAAAACTTTCCAGAGTCTCACAAGCTTCAGTGGAACTGTAGAAGTTTCATTTCTCTAGTTAACTCATTTATAATCAACACTTCCCTTTCCCCACATTTATCTAATGGCAAGTAGAAATGACAAGGTACATAGCTGCCAAAGTTTCACTCCTGACATTGATAATCAGGGATTGAATGCTACTGGACTCTACATGATCAACTTATTAAAAAATTAAATTAACTGATTAAATTGAAATATTAATTAAATTAATATTATGCAGCATATTAATCAGTGGTATTTAATAAAGTTATATTAAAATACACCAAAGACCCACCATTTACTGTGTGACTGGTATTTTTCATCACCTTGTTTGTTTTAGGTTGCATATAGTTCTGTCCCAGAGACCAGTAGCATTACGCAAAGTCATTTCTTTTACTGGATGCTCCCAAAGGCCAGTCATCAATATCATGGACTTCTCCAGCTCTTTTTGCATTTTGGCTGGACCTGGATTGGGATGTTTTACCTCAATATCGGCAACTTGCTGAGGAATGTTATTCCCATGTTTTCCAGAAGTGGGATCTGTTTTGAATTCATAGAAAAAATATCAGGTGAATTTATCAGTGATGATGAGAAGACAATGCGTACATCATACAACAATTTAAGAATTGTTTCAAAGAGTACAGCTCAAATAGTGATGTTTCTGGGTGGATTTCAGAGTATGCTAAATTTAAGGGCTTTGCTCAGAATTTCAGAATATAATGATTTGCCATGTAACCCCAAGGTTTGGTTTATGACAGCGGAGGTAGACTACTCATGCCTTCCTTTCCAAAGATATTGGGATCTTAATTTCATTCATGGCTCTATAACGCTTGCCGTACATTCAAAACAAGTGTCGGCTTTCCAGAAATTTGTTCAGATGAGGAGCCCGGTTTTAGATAAGGAAGATGGATTTCTAATCCAGTTTTGGCAACAGATCTTTAACTGTTTGCCCCAAGTTTCCATCACAGACGAAGAGGATGACAATATCTGCACTGGGGAGGAAAAACTAGAGACGCTCCCTGTATCTGTGTTTGAAACCAGCATGACTGCCCACAGCTACAGTATCTACAATGCTGTCTACGCAATTGCACATGCTTTGCATGCCATGTATTCTTTCCAAGGCCGACAAAGAAGAATAATGAGAGAGAATTTCCTGAGTCAACAGTCATGGAAGGTAAGGAGAATAATTTGGACATTCCACTAGGTCCATGGTAGCAAACCTATGGCACATGTGCCAGAGATGGGCACGTGTGAACAGGAAGCTTCTCTTCCAGGTTCCATTGTGCCCATGCGCACCAGGTACATGATCCTGCATGCATGCACACGGCAGCCAGCTATCTTCTGGGTTCCAGTCTGCACTTGTGCGCCAGCCAGCTGGTCTTCACGCAAATACCAGCTGGCTGGTGTGTATGAACATGACAGAACCCGGAAGTGCAGCTGTGTATGAACGTGACAGAACCCGGAAGTGCAGCGGGCTGCTGCACAGATGCGCACCAGCCAGCTGCTCTAGTCTGGGTTCTGGTGCTGTAACGCGCTCGAGTTTCCGCTCAATCTGAATTGTGTTTTTTAGAAATGAGGTGATTCTAGATATTGGAGGTTACTCCCATAAATGACTTGGTCATTCTTCTAAGGAAGAAATCCAATATCTTTCCCATAAGACATTTATAATATCCTAGCAGCAATTAGCATATACAAAGCAAATTAGGTATACTTTGAAGGAATATATGGTTTGATAAAAATTTACAAAACTATTACAATTTACAATGGGAATTTAACTTTCAACATTTGTTTCTGCCTGTATGAATTACTTCTCAAAACTCTCTCTCTCTCTCTCTCTCTCCCTCCCTCTCTCTCTCTCTCTCTCTCTCTCTCTCTTTGTGTGTGTGTGTGTGTGTGTGTGTGTGTGTGTGTTGGTGGCTCATTATATTTCCAATGTTTTTTTTTAGAAAATAATGCCTGTATGAATTACTTCTCAAAACTCTCTGTGTGTGTGTGTGTCTCTGTGTGTGTTTTTGCTCCTTATATCTCCAATGCTTTTTTTTTAGAAAATGATTTGTCTATTTTAACCATCAAGACTGTTCTACCAGTTATAGAACATCTTATATCAATTTTCTCCATATATAACATTTAACTCCAGCGACTTGTCCAGGTAGTCACTAGGAGTCAAAGGTGCATATGTACATACAAACATGCATGCAAACATGAAGAGAAAGAAAGAAAGAAAAAGAAAGAGAGAAAATGTGGAGAGAGGGAGGGAGAGAGAGATGGAGGGAGGGGGACAGAGAGGGAGAGAGACAACATTCAGAATAAAAGTTCTTCTCTTGAAATTCCAATTGTTGCATCTCTGCTACCATAATCAAAATCAATATATGTTTTATCATAAGGCATTTGACCTCTCAGATTCTGATTAATGTTAGTGTAACAACTTCTAAATTAGAAGGAGCAAATAAACAAACAAACAAAATTGTGTGTCACAAGGTTTTAAAATTCAAAAATCAAAGTCTTTCAATATTTCCTTGTTTCTCCTCTTCTTTTTGTGCTATTTTTCCTATTTTAAAACATTGAAACCAAGTAAGTACAGTGAATTATTATGAAGTAGGAAGCCCAAGACCTCTAATATTTGTCTTATTAAAACTAAAATCTTCCAATTTATTATCTTTCCATGAGATGTCTTTTTTTTTATTCTTTTGGAATAGAAGAGAAGAGAAGAGAATAGAACTGAATGGAACAGAACAGAACAGAACAGAACAGAACAGAACAGAACAGAACAGAATTCTTTATTGGACAAGTATAAACTTTAAACTTTAAAGTTAAAAAACTTTAAAAAGTTAAAAACTTTAAACTTTAAACCTAAACTTTTCCTCTTTTTAAATGGGATTTTAAATTTGGTTTTAAATTATTGGGGTTTTAAAATGGTTCAGCCAAATTTATTTAATTTGTTTTATCTCTATTTTAAATTTTGTATCTATATGTTTTATTTTATGGCTGTTCACCACCCTGAGTCCTTCGGGAGTAGGGCGGTATACAAATTTAATAAAATGATAAATGATAATGATAAAGTATGATTGGACACACAAGGAATTTGTCTTTGGTGCATAACTCTCAGTCTACATAAAAAGACAAGGTACATTCACCAAGAATCATAAGGTACAACACTTAATGATAGTCATAGGGTACAAAAAAGCAATCAAATCATACTAGGAAACAATCAATATAAATCGTAAGGATGCAATCAACAAAGTTACAGTCATATAGTCAAAAGTGGGAAGAGATGGGTGATAGGAACTATGAGAAGATTAATAGTAATGCAGACTTAGTGAATAGTGAATTCCATTAGATGTTTTTTTCTCTCTCATTTTTATTAGTTTATAGTATAAAACCCAAAAGTAAAAAAGCAAATAGTAGGACACGTAGGGGAAGGTAAGGGGAAGAGATATCCATGGGATGTCTTGTTATCATGATAAAAGTCTTCTTAAAAAAAGACATTCAATAACAAGGCAAGAAGTAGAAAGGATAAACATAAACTTATTTTTGTGTGTTTGACCCAGTTATTCAGTAGATTAGTTATTATTGTGTTGTCCCTTATATGTTTTCTATTTTTTGATAAATGGTTAGATTTCCTTAATGATGCATTATGTCATCTTTACAAAATTGATTTTTTTTCAATAGATGACATTATTCTCTGCATAAGAAAACAAATATTGTTTCACAGATATATTGTATGTTTCTGGAAGTGTAAATATTTCCCAAGTCTTATTATTGAACTACTGAATATTTTATTTATTGAGTTATTAATAGCATGTTTTGAAAGAGAACTTTAGCGACTGACTGTCCTACAAATATATCTGTTTTCACTTCTTTCATGATTGTTTAGCTCCACCGCTTTCTACAAAGGATATCTTTTAATAACAGTGCTGGAGAAAAAATTTCTTTTGACCAGAATGGTGAACTGCTGGCAGGATTTGACATCATAAACTGGATCACTTTCTCAAACCAGACCTTTCTCAGAAAGACAGTTGGAAAGATAGACCCATCAGCAACCACTGACAAATGTTTGATTATTGATGAACATAATGTGGTTTGGCCCAGCTGGTTTAATCAGGTAGAGTCCATGTTATTCTAACTCCTATTGCACTTCTTTCTCCACTTTTTCCCCACTGTTCCAAAAGTGTTATACAGCTCAAGCTTTAATGTGAATGGCACAGATATTCAGACATGAGAATTGGTTTTTTGCTTGTGGAGCTTGTGCTCAGTGGAAAACGATGAGTCCTTCAGAAAGACAGAAATGGTTGATCATCTGCTTTTTTCTTAATTTCTAGGGATGGAAAGACTTAAGAATTAGGTTGCAAATTCATATTCTAGCACCATTATAATCAGGGGTGAAATCCAGCAGGTTCTGACAGGTTCTGGAGAATCAGTAGTGTAAATTTTGAGCAGTTTAGAGAACCGGTAGTGGAAATTTGGAGTAGATCAAAGAACTGGCAAATACCATGTCTGGCTGCCCCCAGAGTGGGGTGGGAATGGAGATTTTGCACTCTACTTCCCCTGCCCCGCCCTACAAGCCATGCCCAACAAGCTGCACCACACCCACAGAACCGGTAGTACAAAAAATTGGATTTCACCACTGATTATAATCCATTCATCTAATGAATGTTAATACGTTTCCTGGACAAGGAATAAAACTGTTAACAACAATTTGTAGCCCCATTGCAAATAACAGAGAATTTGGTCCACAAAATTTAATTCATTGTAGGGTACCAATCTCTGGACAATCCCATTAGCAAACTCTGTTGGATTAAAAAAAATTGCATACTGACCAATAAATGCAACAATACAGTCAATTAATTTCCTAAGACTCAATATGTTCCTACGTGACCACACTGAAGATATAAAGGAAATGAACTAGTCTGATGTAGTGGTTAAGACATCAGGTTGGAAACATGCAACCATGAGTTCCACTTCCATCTTAGACAAAAAGCCAGTTGGGTGAGCTTTGACCAGTTAACTTTTCTCAATCTTAGAAAGGAATCAAAGGCAAACCAATTCTTGAAATCTTGCCAAGAAAACTGCAGGGACTTGTCCAAATAGTCTTTGTGAACCAGACACAAATGAATAGAAGAAAAAAAAAGAAATCGTATAATCCTATTTTATACTACAGTATTCTAAAAAGATGGTAGATTCTCCTTGTTCAACCTGCCAATTGAAGATATTTCCAGATCTCCAGTATTTGAAAAGTCCTATTTTGTTATTGTCTTTTCCCCTCATTCTGAAGTCTGTGCTTCTGAAACCTTTAAAAAATTTTGCTTTGTAATTATCTTATTGTAGAGCAACCATTATTTTAATATCAGTTCCAACATTTTGTCCAATCCACCTGTCCCTTCCCTTTCTCTCTATCTCTGTCTCTCTGTATGTCTCTTTCCCCCTTTCTCCCCTTCTGTCTCTGTTTCTGTCTCTCTCTCTGTTTCTCTCTCTCTCTCACACACACACACATACACAATCCCTCACTATCTGTCTCTCTCTGTCTGTCTGTATCTCCCTCCCTCACTCCCGTTCTATCCCCCCATCTTTCTGTCTTTCTCTCTGTCTCTCTCTCACACACACATATTAATATATTAATATCTTCCCTGAAGTACTACCTGCATGATTTTAGGTTTCACTAAGACTCAGAAAAATCTATTACAATTTGTGGTGTGAGTGATAAAACATTGTCTCTCTTTCTGTATGAATTTTCTAAACTTTTGCAAACTTAGAATATTCTATTTCTTTAACAGAAAGACATTGAAAGATGGATCTCCAAAAATTTAAGAATATTAAAGTGAATAAAGGTTTTTGTGCATATTTTTTTCATCTCAATTTAATAATCCAAGATTGTATAAGCATATCACTGGGAAAAATTGTGCAAATACCAGTCCTTACCTCCAAACTAGATCATGAGTACCATCTCTAAATATGTTAGTGATTATCATAAAAAACCACTATATATATTTTAGTGATTGTACTAATTTTGAAATCATTCTCCATTATGGAGGCATTTCCATAAAGGCATTTTGGATATATGTTTTTCTTATTTTCCAATCAAAGTTAACTCCCTCTTGAAGACTGCAGAGACTACATCCCACAGACTCTCTGAAATGGTTTCTGTTAATTTTGACTTTTTGCAAATTGCTTATTTGTTGCTCTTTAGGCAATGATGCTGCTAGGGTAGAATTGGACAGAGAAATTAAGACCATACACAACAGTGTTGGATAAAATCACCACAAAATATTACTAGATTTTAAATCAATCTAAAATCATGTACTGGGTGGTACCTAATTGTTCTTGGTGGAAATTTCCTGCTTTAGACTAAATGGGAAGTTAAATAAATGGATACATAAAGAAATAAAAAAAATGTAATAGAAAACTACACCAGTATTATAGTTAACAAACAACAAGATGGGGCCATATACTCATCAGACATTGAGCTTTGTTCTAGTGGGGCCTCGACTGACTAAAACATGAAATATGATATCCTGAATCTGCTTTCAGCTAGACCAGGGATGGGTTCTACTTATCTTTACTACCGATTTGCAGTGGGGTCGCTACAATTGCACACATGAGTGCTCTTCTGCACATGAGCAGAAGCATTTTTATGATGTCAGGGTCAATGGGCGGAGCCTCCCACCAGTTTTACTACTGGTTCTATAGAACCAGTGTGAACCAGAGGCAACCCACCACTGAGCTAGACTCATTAGAGTATTCTGGGAAATCTTCTCTGTTTGATGATAAATGACTGTTGAATTTTCAGTTTTATGTTCACACATCAGGTTTTCTTCTCAGAGAATGGAGAACTACCATCCATTCCCCAGATATCTATAAGCTTTACAAATGCAGCATTTGAAAAACATTTTCTACATAACAAACTATCTTTTTCATTCTTGTAAAGGAACCACCTCGTTCACTCTGTAATGAAAAATGCCATCCAGGTTATAGAAAGACCAAAATTGAAGGACGATCATTTTGCTGCTATAATTGCACTCTATGTCCAAAGGGGAAGATTTCAGTCCAGACAGGTAAAAAGAGGAAGGGATGGAAAGGAAGAAAGAGGAAAGCGGAAAGCGGAAAGAGGAAAGAGGAAAGAGGAAAGAAAGAAAGAAAGAAAGAAAGAAAGAAAGAAAGAAAGAAAGAAAGAAAGAAAGGAAGGAAGGAAGGAAGGAAGGAAGGAAGGAAGGAAGGAAGGGGAAGGGAAGGGAAGGGAAGGAGGGAGGGAGGGAGGGAGGGAGGGAGGGAGGGAGGAAGGAAGGAAGGAAGGAAGGAAGGAAGGAAGGAAGGAAGGAAGGAAGGAAGGAAGGGCAACATTTTCTAGAGGAAAACTGGAGCCTGGCTGACATTAAGTTTTTCTTCTATTTTCTCAGTCCGAAAATGAATATAAACATAGGACTAAGGAAAAGTCAACTTACAACTAGCCCTAAAAGCAATTCTAATAGTTAGAAAAAGAGCTAAACAGTTAAGTTGATTATGCATAAGTAGGGATTCTCCTTGATTACAAGTGTAGAAACTGAAGTAAGACCTTACTAAGATGCATTTACTTCCATTTCTACTCTGAGTAGATTTGAGAAAGAGGAAGGAGGTATAAATCACATATTTCAGTATAATTAGGAAAATGCTAATATTGTCCAGAGAAATTATTAAGATCAATACCAGGAAGGAAGGGAGGGAAGGAGGGAGGGAGGGAGGTATAGAGCTGTGATTTATTTAGCAGAAATATACTGGTATGCAATACAAAATAAAAGGCTTTCCTAGCAATATTTGACAACAATGTGAACTTTAGTATGAAACCTAGGCCGACAACAACTAGTTTCATTGAAGTTCAATCATAACAGTTACTCATATGGTTTATATTAATAATGGTACCATCATTTACAAAAAGAATTCTAAGCTTTCTGGTATATTTTGACTTAAATATAAACATTTGGTTTTCCAGATATGGATGATTGCTTCCAGTGCCCAGAAGATCAGTATCCAAACAACCACCAGGATTTATGCATGCCAAAGCATGTAACTTACCTATCCTTCAAAGAACTGTTGGGGATCAGTTTAGCTACATCAGCTCTTGTGCTTTCTATTATCACAACACTGGTGCTAGGAATCTTCTTGAAGTACCACAACACTCCCATCGTCAAAGCCAACAACCGCAGCCTCTCCTACACCCTCCTCATTTCCCTCCTCCTCTCCTTCCTTTGTTCTCTGCTTTTTATCGGTCGACCCATGAAGGTGACCTGTCTCCTTCGACAGACTGCTTTTGGAATCATCTTCTCAGTGGCTGTTTCTTGCATGTTGGCCAAAACCATCATTGTGGTTCTTGCTTTCATGGCCACCAAACCAGGATCAAGGATGAGGACATGGGTTGGGAATAGACTGGCCCTTTTCATTGTTCTTTCCTGTTCTTTTGTTCAAAGTACCTTTTGTACTGTATGGCTTGGAACGTCTCCCCCCTTCCCAGATGTAGATATGTGGTCCATAAGTAGCGAAATAATTATAGAATGTAATGAAGGATCTGTTGTAATGTTTTGTTCTGTTTTAGGTTTTATGGGTTTCCTGGCTATAGTCAGTTTTATTGCAGCTTTCTTAGCTAGGAAGTTACCAGACACATTCCAGGAAACCAAGTCAATTACTTTCAGCATGCTGGTGTTTTGCAGTGTTTGGTTGTCCTTTGTGCCTGCCTACATAAGCACCAAAGGAAAATACACAACAGCTGTGGAGATCTTTGCCATCTTGGCCTCTAGTGCTGGGCTCCTGGCTTTTATCTTTTTCCCCAAATGTTACATCATTATAATTAGACCAGATCTTAATAAAAGGGAGCAATTAACAAAAAGAGTGAATTAAAATATATTTTCAACTCTTTTTTTGCTCCACTGGTGGAAATACAATGGTATGCAGCTTTTAAATGCTACTTGACATCATAATGCTAGATAAATGGGAGCACGTATGGACTAATGAATTAAAATTTACTTTGAATTATAGTTTGAAATATTTTTTTTATATATATAAAATGATGTATCTTTGGTATTTGACTCAAGATAGATTAGTGAAAATTTATAATGTTGGAAATGACAATGGACTAGATAGTTTCATGAGAGACTGGAGGTCATTTGAGGACCTTCTACAAGTTATATATAGTAACAGATGGTTAACAGAGAGATTTGAAGATGAGTATAATGTTTGAGCTAACCTTCTCTCTCCCTCTCTCCCTCTCCCTCTCTCTCCAGACACACACACACATACAAACACACGTGTGTGTATATACATATACACACATACATACATATATACACACACACTAGCTGGATACCCATGCTCCGCTACAAAACCATGTGATCAGGCTTGATAAATCAACACTTACAGCTTGAAAATTAATGAGTAGTTACAATCGGCCTCTTCTCTCCCCTTCTCTCCCTCAGCCTTGCCCCACAGAAGCCTCCCCAATCCTATCCCCTTCTCTCCATCAGCCTTGCCCCACAGAAGCCTATCCCATCCTACCCGGGGTGGGTTCTAAAAATTTTTACTACCGGTTCTGTGGGCGTGGCTTATTTTGTTGGCGTGGCTTGTTTTGTTTGTTTTGTTTTTATTAGATTTATATACCTCCCTACTCCCAAAGGACTCAGGGCGGTGAACAGCCACAGAATAAAATGCATAAATACAAAAATTTAAAATAGAATAAAAACAAATTAAATAATTTGGCTGAGACAAATTTAAAATACCCAATAATTTAAAAACAAATTAAAATTTACACTTAAAAGGGGAAAAGATTTAGGCCAGGCCAGCTTGATGAAATAAGAAAGTCTTGAGCATGTGACGGAAGGTGCGCAGATCCGGGATCCTCCGTATCTCTGGGGGGAGCTCGTTCCAGATCGTAGGTGCCCCCACAGAGAAGGCTCTCCCCCTAGGGGCTGCCAGTCGACATTGTTTGGCCGATGGCACCTGGAGGAGCCCCTCTCTATGGGTGCGTACTGGCCGGTGGGAGGCTATTGGTGGTAGCAGGTGGTCCTGTAGATAACCAGGTCCTAAGCCATGGAGTGCTCTAAAGGTGATAACCAAAACCTTGAAGCGCACACAGAAGACCACCGGGAGCCAGTGCAGCTCGTGCAGGAGAGGTGTTACATGGGAACGCCACGTTGCTCCCATAACCACCTGCGCGGCCGCACTCTGCACCAGTTGGAGCCTCTGAGTGCTCCTCAAGGGGAGCCCCATGTAGAGAGCGTTACAATAGTCCAGACGGGAGGTGACGAGGGCATGAGTGACTGTGCGTAGGGAGTCCCGATCTAGAAAGGGACACAACTGGTGGATCAGGCGAACCTGATGAAAAATCCTCCCGGTCATGGCCATCAAGTGCTCTTCTAAAGAAAGCCGTGAATCCAGGAGGATGCCCAAGTTGCGAGCCCTTTCCGTGGGGGCCAATGATTCGCCCCCAATAGTCAGCGATGGCACCAGCTGACTATATTGGGACGTCGGAAACCACAGCCACTTGGTCTTGGATGGGTTGAGCCTGAGCCTGTTTCTCCCCATCCAGATCCGTACCGCCTCCAGGCACCGGGACATCACTTCAAGGGCATCGTTGGGGTGGTCCGGGGTGGAGATGTACAGCTGGGTGTCATCAGAGTACTGGTGGTACTTCACCCCAAAACCACAGATGATCTCGCCCAGTGGCTTTACATAAATGTTGAACAAAAGGGGCAAGAGGACCGATCCTTGTGGCACCCCACATATGAGGGGCCTCGGGGTCGACCTCTGCCCCCCTGTCAACACAGACTGCAACCGGTCGGAGAGAAAGGCGGAGAACCACCGTAGTATGGTGCCTCCCACCCCCAACTCTTCCAACCGGTGCAGCATGATACCATGGTCGATGGTATCAACAGCCGCTGAGAGATCTAACAGGACCAGGACAGAGGAGCAACCCCTGTCCCGAGCCCTCCAGAGATCATCAACCAACGCGACCAATGCCGTTTCCGTGCTGTACCCAGGCCTGAAGCCCGACTGGAACGGATCCAGATATGTCGTTTCATCCAGGTGCTGGAGGAGCTGTTGCGCAACCACACTCTCAACAACCTTTGCCATAAAACGAAGGTTGGAGACTGGACAATAATAATAATAATAATTATTATTATTATTATTATTATTTATTGAATTTCTATACCGCCCTACTCCCGAAGGACTCAGGGCGGTGCACAGCCATGAAATAAAACACATAAATATACAAAATTTAAAATCGAATAAAATGAATTAAATAAATTTGGCTGAATTAATATCCAATTTAAAATACCCATATTTTAAAATCCATTAAAAATTTAGAATTTACACTTAAAAGGGGGAAGATTTAGGCGAGGCCAGCTTGATGAAACAGAAGCGTCTTCAACTCGCGGCGGAAGGTGCGCAGATCCGGAATCCTCCGTATCTCTGGGGGGAGCTCATTCCAGATCGTCGGTGCCCCCACAGAGAAGGCTCTCCCCCTAGGGGCCGACAGCCGACATTGTTTGGCCGACGGCACCTGGAGGAGCCCCTCTCTGTGGGAGCGTACTGGTCGGTGGGAGGCTGTTGATGGTAGTAGGCGGTCCCGTAAGTAACCAGGTCCCAAGCCATGGAGCGCTTTAAAGGTGGTAACCAGAACCTTGAAGCGCACCGGAAGACCACCGGGAGCCAGTGCAGCTCGCGCAGGAGAGGTGTTACATGGGAGCTCCATGTTGCTCCCATAACCACCCGCGCGGCCGCACTCTGCGCCAGTTGGAGCCTCCGGGTGCACCTCAAGGGGAGCCCCATGTAGAGAGCATTACAATAGTCCAGACGAGAGGTGACGAGGGCATGAGTGACTGTGCGTAACGAGTCCCGATCTAGAAAGGGACGCAACTGGCGAATCAGGCGAACCTGATGAAAAATCCTCCCGGTCACGGCCGTCAAGTGCTCTTCTAAAGACAGCCGTGAGTCCAGGAGGACGCCCAAGTTACGAGCCCTTTCTGTGGGGGCCAATGATTCGCCCCCAATAGCCAGCGATGGCGCCAGCTGACTATATCAGGACGTCGGAAACCACAGCCACTTGGTCTTGGATGGGTTGAGCCTGAGCCCGTTTCTCCCCATCCAGATCCGCACGGCCTCCAGGCACTGGGACATCACTTCAAGGGCATCGTTGGGGTGGTCTGGGGTGGAGATGTACAGCTGGGTGTCATCAGCGTACAGATGGCACTTCACCCCGAAACCACGGATGATCTCGCCCAGCGGCTTTACATAAATGTTGAACAGAAGGGGCGAGAGAACCGATCCCTGCGGCACCCCACATATAAGGGGCCTCAGGGTCGATCTCTGCCCCCCTGTCAACACAGACTGCGACCGGTCAGAGAGAAAGGAGGAGAACCACCGTAAAACGGTGCCTCCCACCCCCAACCCTTCCAGCCGGTGCAGCATGATACCATGGTCGATGGTATCAAAAGCCGCTGAGAGGTCTAACAGGACCAGGACAGAGGAACAACCCCTGTCCCGAGCCCTCCAGAGATCATCAACCAACGCGACCAATGCCGTTTCCGTGCTGTATCCAGGCCTGAAGCCCGACTGGAACGGATCTAGATACGATTAGCCAATACTGCCGGGTCCAGAGAAGGCTTCTTGAGGAGAGGCCTCACCACCGCCTCCTTCAGGGTGGCGGGGAAGACACCCTCGCCCAATGAAGCATTTATAATTCCCTGGAGCCAGCCTCGCGTCACCTCCCGGGAAGCCAGCACTAACCAGGAGGGACACGGGTCCAACAAACATGTGGTCACGTTCAGTCTATCTAGAATCCTGTCCACGTCATCAGGGGTCACAGGATCAAACTCATCCCAGATAACATTCTCAAGACTTGCCTCCGTCACCCTCGCTGGATCTACCCAGTCGGAGTCCAGATCTTCCCGAATCTGAGTGATTTTGTCATACAGTTACTGAACAAAATCCTCGGCTCTTCCCTCCAAGGGGTCCTCCCATGCTTCCTGGTGGAGCAGGGAGTGGGGTCTCCCTAAACAGGGCAGCCGGGCGATTATCTGATGACACAATAAGAGCAGCAAAATGATTACATGAGTAATCACCACTAGGTAATTCTTAATATGAGATCTTACCAGTGTCTGGTCAGATTCAGAAAGACTGGCCCTCCAACTACTCTCTAGGCATCTTTTCCGGCGCATCATCTCCCTCAGCTCCTCAGTGAACCAAGCAGCCAGGTGAGATCGGCACCAGGTCAGAGGCCGCAAAGGCACAACTCGATCCCGAGCTCCAGCGGCCGCCCTGTTCCAGGCGGCCACTAGGTCTCCAGTTGAGGCGTGAGCCAAAACCTCGGGGATTGGCCCAAGCTCCATCTGGAACCTGTCAGGTTCCATCAGGCTTGATGGTCACGTGACAATTATTTAGGATTTAGCAGAGGTACTGGTCTATCAGGCTTTTAACTGCTTGCAGAGCTGTACCGATCTACCCATTTATTTTTTGCAGGCACTGATCTACTCATGTATTTTTGCAGGCACTGATCTATTCATGTATTTTTGCAGGTACTGGTCTACTCATTTGTTTTCTTTTAACACTGATCAGCTGTAGGGTGGCCCTTTGAAGCCCCGCAGCAAGAGTTTAAAAAGTTTTGTTCCCTCTAGCCATCAGCTCGGACTCAGGAGGCAGCAATAGATTGGGGGTGGGGCCAAATAAAAGGTAAGAATAATGCAGGGGGTGAGGGGGCATGGGGGTAGGGGCGGGGGGGAGCAGAATCGGTTCGGTGATGTCATATTGTTAGTGCTACCGGCTTGGGAGAACTGGGCCGAACCGGGAGGAACCCACCACTGCATCCTACCCCGCCCCTCTGTCCCTCAGGCTTGCCTCACAGAGTCCTCTTTTCTCCTATCCCCTTCTCTCCCTTTTAGGGGGGAAGTAGAATCTCTAAACTCCCAGCCCGCAGGCCAGATGAGTAATGCACTGGCCATGCCCACGTCCACATGGCAGAGTTC